CATGGAGCGCGTTGGCCCGCACGCCAGTGGCACATGCAGCGCTGGCCCACACGTCAGTGGCACATGGGACGCGCTGGCGCGCACGCCAGTGGCACATGGAGCGCGTTGGCCCGCACGCCAGTGGCACATGGAGCGCGCTAGTGACAACCATCCATCCGTCCGTCTGACAACAACTTGCCGTGCATTCCACATACTATCAGGCACGTGAATAACAGTCGGAATGGTCTATCTCTAGTGTTATGTACGCATTATGATATTGCAATGCTATTGAAAACATACAATCTCTCCCGCACCGCAGCCTGGCGGAGTAACGCACGCTCCCTACCTCAAAACATGCAGCTCGCATTCCAAACAATTTGTCAAGCAAACTATTTAAATAGAACATTAACCATTTTGTGCGACGGTTATGGCCTTACGCGGCGCCATCTAGCGCCGTGCACATCATCACAAAAAACTGCGGTTCCCATTGGCCGTCACCTCCGTCAGTGAGCCGCGCCGCCACCGCCGGTTTGTACGTGTACATATGCCCATCGCCTGCCCGGCGGGCACTGCCCATTCTGCCCGGTCGGCCGCGCAGACTGGGGTCACCACTGGCACCGTCACCGAACACCCTCCCCCCCCCCCCCACACTTGCTGTACCAGCTGCTGTGTAGTCCGAGATGGCGACTCAGGGGAAACATGACAGCAGTGGTTGAAGGCCCTGCGTTGCCTCAATATGCAGGCGCCGTGAGCGCAGCCCGTGCGCAAGCTCGTCTGAATCGCTCTCGTTATGCAAGCTTGCCCTGGCAAGCATAGCCCAAGGTTACGCGCGGGGAAGGAGCAGGTGTCAAAGAAGAGGGATCACGCACATGGTGCGTACTCTCCCCGACCGCAACGTCAGCCCACACCCCCCTCCACGCCGACAGCGGTTCACGGCGCCCCGGCTCTGGGGCGGTGTGCCGGTCCAAGGTGGCGCGGAACAGTCCTCGTCCTTCCCCGCATAGCAGCCCGACACGCCGTGGCACCGCGGCCGGCCGGTCCCTCACACAGCCGTGTCGAGCGTGTTGATGCGCACCTTCTTGCCGCGCCCGGCCGACGGCGACGAAGGCGCCGGGTTGCGGATGATCATGACGCCCGAGTCGATCGACTCTTCCGGGCTGTCGCTAGGCCTGCGCCGCTTCTTCTTGAGGCTGGAGCGCAGCGGCGACTTGCGCGGATCGTACGGGATCGGCCGGCCGTTGTAGCTGGAGGTGGGCGTGGGCGCCGGCGCGGCCGCGCCCGCGTTGGCCGGCGCCCGCCGCGCGTGCACCACGCCCGGCTGCGGCGCCACAATCACCGTCACGCCGTTGGCCGTGGGTGAGGCGATGCGCCCCTCACGCGCCGCCGGGTTGACCAGCACGGGCGCCAGCCGGCCGTCCGGGTCGCGCGCCATCTGGACGGGGTCGCCGCCCAGCCGGAACGCGCGAGCACGAAACTCGGCGGCGGCGAAGCCGCACAGCGCCAGCGCCAGCAGCACGTACAGCACCGCGGCAGCGGACAGCGACCGTCAGCGGCGCCAGCGGCTCCGGGCCGGCGCTCGGTCGATATGGGCCGTCACCAGCGGAACGACATCTGCGATATGGGCGGATGAGCTGGCACGCGTGGCGGCCAGCGGTAATGAGGTGAAGACTGAAGGGTGCGGCAGCGCTACAGCAGCCTGCAGCTCAACAGCGAGCCGGCTCGATAAGGCAGGCCGTTGTCCGTGGAAGGCTGCAGCAGCTAAGCTCAACATCAGGCTGTTGTCCCGGTGGGAAGGCGCTGCAGCAGCTACAGCTCAACATCGAGCCGACTGGTATGGCAGGGTGTTGTCCCGGTGGGAAGGCGCTGCAGCAGCTACAGCTCAACATCGAGCCGACTGGTATGACAGGGCTGTTGTCCCGGTGGGAAGGCGCTGCAGCAGCTACAGCTCAACATCGAGCCGACTGGTATGACAGGGCTGTTGTCCCAGTGGGAAGGCGCTGCAGCAGCTACAGCTCAACATCGAGCCGACTGGTATGACAGGGCTGTTGTCCCAGTGGGAAGGCGCTGCAGCAGCTACAGCTCAACATCGAGCCGACTGGTATGACAGGGCTGTTGTCCCGGTGGGAAGGCGCTGCAGCAGCTACAGCTCAACATCGAGCCGACTGGTATGACAGGGCTGTTGTCCCGGTGGGAAGGCGCTGCAGCAGCTACAGCTCAACATCCAGTCGGCTCGTGTGGTAGGGCTGTTGTCTCGGTGGGAAGGCGCTGCAGCAGCTACAGCTCAACATCGAGCGGTCCGTATGGCATGGCTGTTGTCCCGGTGGGAAGGCGCTGCATTTTTCAGATGATATTAAAAGCGCGCTGGGGCAATCAACACAGCAAGGCTGACGCCAAAAGTGATCCAGATGTATTGAGCATTTTTGTCGAAAGTAATCCAAGCGTAATGATTGTTTACACGATTTTACAGGTGCACGACTTTGACGGCGTGCACGGGTTGGATTCTTCGTGAGCGGAATTTGTAACGACGACCAATCGAAGTCCGATAGCAGCCGTGGACGAACACAAGGCGTTGCAAAATTGCTATCGCTCGCTCAAAACACATTATTTCACTTCAGCGCAGATCAGCTGCTATGGATTGGACTTCAAAACGTACTTGTCCGTTTGCTGAAAAACATAGCTGTGTACTCTGCAAACGCACCAGTCAAGAGCGACGTCTCTCTGTGCCGCAAACGAGAATCGGCGATGATGCGGTCCCCGTTGAATATTTCCTAAGGCAGATTGTCGCTGAATATGCCGATCAACTACCAGCGCCCTTCACTGACGGCTTGTAGTATTTTCCGTATAGAAGTTAGCAAAGTTTCACAAGAAAAGCACTGAGACGTTCTGATGATGTTATCATCCAAGTCACGTAGCGTGTATTCGTGGTGACGCAGGTGCAGCCCTGATAAATAATTGACAGTTGAAATCGGCTCAGTCGAGCGGAAATGAAGCAAACATGCTGAACTGGCTGGATCTCCAGGAGTGAAAGGCTTTTGTCATTCAAACCAGGTTCCCATACACCCAACGAACATTTGAATCCTGATGATAAAGCATTTAAATTAGGAGCGTTCCTTGGAGGGGCTGAGCATACGAAGAACCTTCCTTTGCAATCATGTTACAAGCGATAAAGGAAATCATTTATTGATCATCGACCAATGTCACACCCGAAATATCGTCATCGCAGCGCTGTCCTCGACAGTAGCGATATGAACTTCAACAAAATAACGCGAGGTAGTCCTCGTGCCTGCTAGAGCCCATGGCAGGGCTAAATATTTCGCAGGATAATCAGACCGTGAAAATGAGACTCTCAAAAAAAGGATGTGCGATATGGACCGGCAGTGTACCAAGGTGTCCAACATATTTAATTCAACGGCCATTTTGGCACATGGGTTGGGTTTCCTGAACTGCTGAATGATATTACTCATGGCGATATTGACCAGATACAGCAAGGCATTTCCTCTTCACTCATTCAATTTGTTTTTCATTAGCAGCCCTCAGTGTTTTAATAGCACCTCCAGTCACTCGCAAAGCGAGCAGCAGCAGCCCACAGCAACCACGCACTCAAACACCACGATGTTCATGGATGTGCAGTTTAATTGCCGATGCACATCAAACCTAAATTATAGCGCATTTTACCCTGCCAAGGAACCAAGAGAAACAAATAAATGACTATGAATGATAACGACCAGGAAATGATATCATTAATGCTAGGAGCAGATGGGCAACACAAAATATGGCACAGTAAACAGCTTTATCTTAAGTGTGACCATTGACATGACAATAAAATGCCTAGGAAGCGAACAATCTAAGTGCGGTTAGCGTGTTCGGTGTGCGCTGAGCCCACTGCCCCGCATCATGAGGTACAAATAACTCACTACCCCGCACCATGAAGGGCACAGAGCTCCCTAACCCGCGTCATGAGGAACACTGAGTCCGCTACCCCGCACCATGAGGTACACAGAGCTCACTACCTCTCACCATGAAGGGCACAGGGCTCGCAATCCCGCGTCATGGAGCACACTGAGTCCGCTACCCAGCACCATGATGTACACAGAGCTCACTACCCTGCACCACGAAGCACACAGAGTCCGCTACCCCGCATCATGAGGTACACAGAGTCCGCTAACCCGCACCATGAGGTACACAGAGTCCGCTATCCCGCACCATGAGGTACACAGAGCTCGCTACGCCGTGTCATGGGGCACACTGAGAACGCCACCCGGCATCATGAGGTACACAGAACTCGCTACCCCGCATCATGAGGTACACAGATTCCGCTACCCCACACCAGGAGGTATACTGAGCCCACTATCCCCAACATGAAGTACACAAAAGGCTGTCCGAGTCAACGGCATGAGCGTGGGTGCGACGACACAAGATAAAGCGCAGCCCAAAGGATCCAGCTCAAATGCCACCTGGCACGGCGGCCGCCCCGCCCTCTCCACAGGCTGTAGTTGGAATGTAACTGAGTCTGGTAATGTAACGTCGGTAAAAAGGTAAATGTAACGTCGGGCCTGTCAGCCCGACGCATTGTCGAAGCAGCGAACACAACGTACCAGCAGCTTTTCAGCTTGGTCGTAGACGGAACACGAAAACCTGCGCATCAGGCTTTTGCAGTTTTTTAAAATGCAAACATATGCAGAAGTACACATGAAAAAGGCCGATTTCAGGCGTGTATAGACTTTGCGTGCTTGTTTTGCTATTTAGTCACGGGTACGCAACAACCATACACACGCAGCAAGCCCATGGGTATCCAGTTAGCTAGGGAGAGCCTGGCATGAGATGCCTCCTCAGCTGATTTCTCAATTTGGCGTCTGGACAGGGACTTGCATGGCTTGAAGCACAGACATGCCAGTGTTTCGTAAAATTAATAAGAGAGGGAGGGCGAGTACATTAAAAAAGAGACATTGCCGCAGCGTGTCATCAAGTACAAGCAGTTCGTGCAGACCGTGAATGAGTCCTTACAATGAGATATGACTGCTATTCCGTTCTCAATGAGTGCTCACCATGATATAGAAGGACCAGGAGTAATAGACGAAGAAGCCCAGGTTCTCCCCCAGTCTCCTGGCTCTCACTTCAATATCGAAGAGCACTATGCATAGCACGCAGCAGGCGGCTGAAACCAAACAGGCACATTAGCATCAAATGTTGCGCAATTGCTTGCACGGGTCGACGATGAAGGAAACCAGCCCCTTCGCCTGGGCTGCGTTTGACGTCAGGGCAAGGAAAGAGAACGCAAAACAGTGCCACAAAACCACGGATTCGCGTGCACAGGGCACTAATTTGGCGTGCCCTGGCTGGGTCCCATATTGTCGAAGAGGATCCTGGGACGACAAAGATTGCATTTCTTGGCAGGAATGCGACAGACGGGGTGCCGGTAGTGTAGTGGTTAACACGTCAGCATTAAACACTGCGCGTCTGGGAAACCAGAGGAGCGGGGTTCGGTTCTCCGCGGTGCCCGCCCCTCCTGCCAGGGTGAGAGGCAGGCGACGCCATGTAGCCTCCACAGCAGCTGGAGTGCGTCGTAAGAGCCCCAATCACACACACACCACACACCACACACACACACAAACACACACACACACACACACAACACACACACACCACACACACCACACACACACACAACACCACCACACACACACACACACACACCACACCACACCACACACACACACACAACCAACACACACACACCACCAGCAGCACAGCAGCCACGCAGCTGCGCAGCACGCACGCACAATGCGGACAGGACTGGACATCACACACCCATGTCAGAGGTCACACCAGCTACTGCAGTGATCACATTGGCGCACAACAGCCGTGGCGAAACCAGGACTCTTAGCTCGGGCCCTCATATGGGAGCAACAGGTCTGAACCACTCAGCCATTTCGTCATCGGCGCAGGTCTGAAACCAAACATTCTAGCAGAGCTAGAACTATGAAGATCAAGGTATAAAAAGGAGCTTGTCAAAAATGACGAGACATCTTGGCACAACGCAGCAAAAAGCGAAAGTGTTACAGCTAGTGCTCTTAGCAAAAATATTCCATAAATTCCTTTGGTCAAGCCCAAACCTGGCTTTCGCCAGCTGAGTCGGTGGCACTGCTTGCTTGGCGACAGCAATGTTAAATTTTAAACGTAACGAGTACGAGACGTTGGGGATCGACTGATGCATGGTCGTAAAGCACTTCAGTGCATCCAATTTGCTTCAGTGTAACACACTCTTAACAACTGCACGGCCAATTTCCATCTATGATGAACTGGCACATTCCAACGCTTCGAAGAGCTCTGTTGGGACCCATATCTGGTCATAAACAAGGGACTTCACCAGCTAAGATGCCCAGCCTCCATTTTCATAGAGGAACTTTCAGTCAAGAGCCGGTTGCATGATTCCGCCAATCACCTCCCGCGTCAAAGGCATTCATTAACAGGAAAACGCCACCTCGAGTCACAGGCCCTGAAAATCAGGCTGTCGATAAGCGCGACCCGGTTTTTAATCTAATTGTCCTAACGAGGAACGAGCTGGCAGGCAAACATTCGGGCGGAAAATGGGAATATGTTCAGCACAGCCATGATGCTGGAATTGCAGATACAGTTACGACTTTGATGCCGGTAGCTTCTGACAGTACGAAGGTGTATAGGCGGCCGCCTAAATATCGCCCACGGAGTAGGCGGTGCAACCATCTAGGCGCAGCGCAGTTTGAGAACCAGCGTACCACAATTGAGGCCACGTCCGAAAAGAAAATCGCAAATTTGTACGCATGCGCATTGCGCTCCGCAGGAGTGAAGTGCTGGTCGTCTTGCTCATTCGGCACGTCCGCTGACTGTTAATCGCTCACAAACCGAAGGAGTGGACAACACGTTCCATACTTGCCCCAACCTATGTATCCGGTACGAGTTAAACGTGTCCGTATATACATGTTCGCTTTAAGGGGCGGACTCGCCATCCGGGAGCCGCTGAGTGGACTCCATGCCTTGCTCCACACTGATGCCGTGCTTGATCAGTGGTTATCGCCAGCGGCCACGGTTCGGCAGTAGGCTGCGGCTACGACACACGCTCAGCGCGCGCTACTAGAGTACCATGGCACGATTTAACTGTATGGGTCCTAAAGTGGATGCATTGTAAACAAAATTGATCCTTGCCATTGTGTGCAACGTCAGACCTGAATAGCAATACTATACCATATGATGGCGTTTATGACCCATTGGCTTGGCTTGGCTTGGCTCGTGATATGCTGCACCACCCTGATAATGAATACGTGATTCTTGGACATAGCTCGCTGTGTGAAAGCACGCGCGGTCATTGAAAATAAACACTGACGTCATACACAATATTTCGCTTGCATTATTTTTATACATTATCATAATTTACGATATATTTAGATACCATATATTTTTGTGATATATTATTTATTTCATGATATATCTATATTATCATACTTTTTATCACATCCAGCTGTGCATTTATTTCAAAACGGTTGTGCAGATCACTCACGAGACGCGCTGACGGAAGGGGAGTACCGAGAGGAAAAGGGTGCGCTAAAAAGACAGCATGTGCACCCAAGCGCGGCTAGAGCTGCCCGACTGGTGTCGCCTTTCAAGCGTATACACCTGCCCATACACACACAACACAACACACACACAGAGCACACACTTATGTACATTTGTCCGCGAAAATGCTGAAATGATGGTGCAGAAAGTGAGAGGGCTTTCGATATCAGATGGAGCTTCAGATGGCACATCAGAGGGCCTCCGATATCAGATGGGGCTTCAGATGGAACATCAGAGGGCTTTCGATATCAGATGGGGCTTCAGATGGAACATCAGGGAGTTTTCGATATCAGATGGGGCTGCAGATGGAACATCAGAGGGCTTTCGATATCAAATGGGGCTTCAGATGGAACATCAGAGGGCTTCTGATATCAGATGGGGCTTCAGATGGAACATCAGAGGGCTTCCGGTGTACGTTTGTTACAAAACACTCCACCGACCTCCACCAGTACATCTGGGAATGTCGTTCATGAGTGTGTCGTTTTGGCTCCTCTCGTACGTGAGAGAATGTCATTTCATCAGTGTTGTATCCCCTATCTGTGTGGTCTAGAAAATGTATGGACAACATCGTCAATGAGTCACACAGACAAAGAACATGACAACGATAAAATCACGTGGGGGATAGGGTCACTGGCATGTGGTATTGTAGATTGTCATGTTGATGGCGTAGGTCAGAGTGCGTGATGCTGATGATGTCTTCTGCCCGGCCATAAGAATATCTGTTTTGCCAAGTCAAAACAGTGAATTATCCAATGAGAAGTCCATTGTTGTTTGCATGCTGGTGTTCAATGCTCTGATTTTAAGTACGTCGGTTGCCGAGTGAAATAGGAAACCAGATGCTGATGTTGAGCATGGGTACACAACGTATCCAAAACGGTAAAGCGCAAACAAATGAGAAGATGCCTTTTCATGTCTCTTCATGCTCCTTTTTGGTTAACTACTCTTAACAGACGGTGTCAAAAGTACAGTTCAAAGGGAGTTTTAACGGAAGCTATCCAAAGCACAAAATGTCGTACTCTTTAATGAATTATGCGTAAGCATACGTATTATATATATATATATATATATATATATATATATATATATATATATATATATATATATATGACAGAACAATTTCCTTCCTCACCATTTAAAAACCTTAATTGTCTCTTAATTCACCTTGGCCGTGTTCTAAATAGGTTACTGAGTGCATAGAACGCACAATTCCAGGCCACTACGGACAGCGCATTCGTTAGCGCAACTCACTTCCTATGCAGCTGATCACCAGCTTGCCCATGATGGCGTGCCGGAACTTGACGACCACGCGGCGGCGGGTGACGCGCATCGCCAGCACCATCGGCGACATGACGCACATCAGGGCCGTCACCAGCACGGCCAGCACGCCGCACGCGCCAGCCGCCGTCGTGTACTCTGCAACAGCGGCCGGCCAGCCGCCGGGCTCCGGTTACTAATGGCGGGGCTGCGCCGCCGGCTCGAACGGCGCCAGCGGCCTCAGACGTCCGCCGACGGCACGGCCCGTCCCGCAGCCACCGACCGCTGACAATGGCATGGAAAAGGTCGCGCAGATGTGTCATAGTTCACGGGAGAGTGAGCAATGTAACGTGAACTTTTCGTGAACTATGAACTACGATATGAATGAAGTTGTGAACTTCAACACCTTGCATGTTTCCGAACCATTCCGCACGCAAAGGTTAATGGCTAGTTCGGGCATTGTATGGTGTTACACAAACAGCATAAAATGTCAACATGGCAAGCGATGAGAGCGTTCAGCACAGCAGCACTTTCGGCAACGGTGAGATGAAGGCCACCCGAGTCAGCACACGAGTCAGGTTTCCCCATAAATCGAGCCAGGCTCGGCGAGATCTCAATGGCCGTCGTCTGACAGCTTCAGGACAAGGCCATGCAATAAGAAGTCGTGCGGCATGCGTGGCATGGCGAGTGGAAAATGGAAAGCTTAAAGAGAGTGTTCTTTAAGAGAGTGCTCCGCATTTGCGAGGGGGTTTTGAACTGAAGTAGCCATCTTGAAAATCATTCGGTACAGTTCACAGCCCTGCCCTGCTTAAGACCTAAATCCCGCCAGTTTCAGAGTTACACGCCCGTGAATATGTGCAGAGTATTTCGGGGAGACTATTCAGAGGTTACTCAGGCATCCATGATGTCATAATAACGCCGTTTAAGTTCTGCCGTTCCATTCGTCATGCGGCGATCAAGGCCAATACGAATATCATTATCGAGTTGTTCATATCTGGCGTCCGTGAGCACGATTTTCAGATATAACGGCTGTCAGTTGGTTCTCAATCAATATTGGTGTCTTGGGCAGTCTTTTCAACTTAAAACTGCACCAATGTTCATAAGTGAGTGTATTTTATCATATATGATGCTTGCTTCAATCTCTTAAAATGTGGAACATTTCCATTAAAGACTCCGATCACCTCTAGCAACGGTGCGAAGCGTTCTTGCTCTGCACTGCGAAGGCAGGGCGCTGAGCGGAAACGCCGCGGAAGGCGTGGCTTAAACGGGTCCAAGAAACGTCCGGCTGACGCGGTGGGTGAGCAGATCACGCGCACCGCGCCGCCGTAACCTCTCCAGCGGGGGTGACATGTTGTCCCCACACCGTAACCTCTGCAGCGGGGTGACATGTTATCCCCACACCGTTACCTCTCCAGCGGGGGTGACATGTTATCCCCACACCGTAACCTCCGCAGCGGGGGTGACATGTTGTCCCCACACCGTAACCTCTGCAGCGGGGATGGTATGTTGTCTCCACACCGTAATCTCTGCAGCGGGGGTGATATGTTGTCCTCACACCGTAACCTCTGCAGCGGGGGTGACATGTTGTCCCCACACCGTAACCTCTCAAGCGGGGTGACATGTTGTCCCCACACCGTAACCTCTCCAGCGGGGGTGACATGTTGCCCCCACACCGTAACCTCTTCAGCGGGAGTGACATGCTGTCCCCATTTCGTTCGCGGGGCGACCTCGAGCGCAAAGTCCATCTTTTTTGACCCAGCTGGTCCCGCCCAGAGCAGACACTCACTGCGCGATGTGAACAGATATATGAGGTCGGATGAGCAGTTTACGAGCGGGGAGTGTGAGGGGGTGACAAATCCCCGACAAAGGCAAGACTCCATTTGATGAGCTTATTCCGGTATGTCCTATTCACAAGAATTCAGCCGATGGAGAGTCCCAGCGGCTCGGCGGATGATGATGTGAGAGGACGATAAGTGACGGGAAAAGGTGAGGTGTAGGGATGAGGCTTCAGTCAGAGTATCGGGGGTATAAATAGCCCTAGTGGTGCTCACCTTCAACTTCATGTTGTTGGTGACCGTAATCTTAGCTCTACATTGGAAGGGGACGACAGCTGTGCTCTCCACAGGCTGTGATTTCAGAATGAACAGATGGCCACTGTAAGCCTAGTCCAGACGTTGGACAGCATCGACGCAGAACACCGAACGGCCTCGCGGCCATGGGTAGAGAATGTGGTTTGGCAGGGTGTGGGCGGATAGTGGCTGCACCAACTTCAAAGTTCAAAGTTGAACTCCCGGCTCAGGCACGCCAACTTCTGGGAAGCATGTCAGTTAAGCCAGCTGATAAAAGGCTGATGGGATCCATCAAGCCTTATGAATTCATGGCTCGAAGAAACTAGCAGGAAATTGAAATTAAGCTGAGTACGCGTTGAACCCATCACATGACAGTTTCACCTCCACAAATGCATGGCATCTTGCTACAAACGGGCAGTCAGACGAGAAGAGTTGCGGGACGTGAGAAACGGTGTACAAACCAGCGCAGTACCTGATCTCCCGACCATTTTATAATCCTTTGAAAGTCAAAGATCCATGCGGCTGGCTTACGTCCCTTCACCGTCTTGTGCTCCCTGGTTTTGTTGAGGCCGCTAAATCCAAGATATTATCTCTTCATTGCGCCAAAGGCCCTAATTATGCTCAGATGCACCAGATCACATCTGGGGCCAAAGGTACAGCAAAGTTCCAAAGCAGTTTCGCTGTTATAATTTTTGTCTTCCCGAAGAAGAAATAATCAAGTTTAATGATGCATACACCTATGACGAGATGGCTACTTTTTAACAGTCGCAAAATGGAGGTGCTCCAAAGTCAACCCACCCAGCCCCTACTTATTTCACCTCCACGCCTCGGCATCCAGATTTTTTATCGGTCCCTGATCATCTCGGAGGACCACGGCCATTTCATACGCTCTTTGCTGCATACTGACCCATATATCACCGACTCCCTGACTACCTCGAAGGTTTTGAGGCCGTCTGGACATTTCGCAACTGAGGGAAGGTCGATCTTGCTGTTCCGTGCGCTTGTATCGTCCGGGTGCTTGCCTTGAGACGCCTTCAGACGCCTTGCCTGTCATCGGGAATGCGTTCTGTCTGCGCCCCAGTTCCGAGCCATCAACGTTTGGCGGCCATTCCACCATCGCTGACACGGTCGGCTGGATCAGCGTCTCGACGTCATAGTCCACGGCGATTCGAGCCTACAAGACCCTAATTTTCTTTGGATCTGTGCGCTGGATCAGCGTCTCGACGTCATAGTCCACGGCGATTCGAGCCTACAAGACCCTAATTTTCTTTGGATCTGTCCGCTGGATCGGCGTCTTGACGTCATAGTCCGCGGCGATTCAAGCCTACAAGCCCCTAATCTTCTCTGGACCTCTGCGCTGGATCGGCGTCTTGACGTCATAGTCCGCGGCGATTCAAGCCTACAAGCCCCTAATCTCCCCCGGGCATGTTGGTTCGGAATCACTCCGGCATCCCTCCGGCGTCGGTGGGTAACTTGAAATCTTCATATCCCCATAGCGATCGTGAGCTTTTGGACCCCCAAGGCCATCTCAGCCCTTCGAGGCCTTTGTCCGTCGCGGCTCGCTGAGCGTTTATGCATTCCGACCACTTTGAATGTTAGTCGATCAGCCGTATATTTGGTATCCGCACTTGACAGACGGACCTTTAAGCGAAATGCTCCATATTTGAAAACATCGAGACGAACATCAGACATGATGAAATAAGCTCACCGATAACGAATGCCATACTTTAAATATTGAAAAGATTTGAACTTTAAATTTGAAAAGACTGCTCCAAGCTAAACAAAGTCTCTATTGAATAAATATTCTCCTTAATACGTCATTGCTTTATTGCGTCATCATACCTTGTACAACATTGATTGAGAACCAATTTACGGCAGTTTTGCATCGAAATCGCGCCCACGAATGCCGTATATCAGCGACTAGAATGTTACGTTTTATCAGCCTTAATGGCCGCCTGGCCGATGGAACGGCAGAATTTGAATGACGTTATTATGATGTCATGAATACCTGAGTGACCTGAAAATAGCCTGCATGAAATAGGCTGCAAATATTTATGAGTGCATAGCTAAGAAACTAGAAGGGATTGGGTCTTAAGAATGGCAGGGCTGTAACCTGCACCAAATGATCTTCAACATGGCTATTTCGGTTCAAAATTCCATACAAATGTGGGAAACTCCCTTTAATAACACGCAGGACGTCTTGTGCGTCGTAGAACTAGCAAACCCACAGCGCAGGAAAAATTGGCAGTTGTAATCAAGTCGATGGTGTACAAAACTTGACCAACGAAGGAGGAAACCTACGACCATCCATACAAACAGGTTTGAGCAATGCGTTTGAAGGTCTCCAATTCGTAAGAATTTAGCGAGCGTAAGTACACTGATGTCAAACTGAGTCGATACCGACGCACCCGCAGCAGGTTATGGTCTTGGCAACGGTGCCACAAGTATGGTGAAAAGGCGAGTATTTGGATGCATATTTGTCACAACCAGCAGGGCTATTTCGGTTTACACCGCAGGATGTCGTATCCAAGATAGGTTCCATAAATGGTGATGTTCGTCTTGTTACAGCCAATTGCTGTTACACCTGTGCGTCAGGCAGTGTTTAGACGTGCTGGCGAGTTGCAGAGGCTACATTATCCTACACCGCACACTTGGTGTCATGTCTCCTCTTGCTCTGGTCACTAACATCTGACATCAGCCCTAAAAGCTGAGACGGCCGGATTTAGCACCTGCGCATGAAAACGCGTGCCCGTGTACACAGGCCAAACTAATCTTTTGCCAACACGATTGCTCATTTTCTGCTCCATCAGAATCACTCAACTTCACAGTGTTGCGACGCTCCGTCAAGATCTAAGCCCAGTTTCGACGCATGATCTTCAGGTTTTTGGTAAGTTTAGAAAAATGTCTTTTCTTAGTTAATCCAACGGAGGAGGCGTAATCGTGGCACCGTTCCAATATTTCAGGAAAACCCGTCTGATCCAGCAGCTTGTGCGTCATTGTATAACAAGCTACACAACACAATTTTTATAAAATTGCATTTGATATATATATATATATATATATATTATAATCTCTATCTATCTATCTATC